CGTTTTTCATATTTGTCTCGCAATTTAGCATTATAAGAAGCTATCTCGGAAGAATCTTGGAGGGCGTCATATAATTCTTTCTTAAGGTCTATCACATTGGCCATATTAAATAATAAGAAATAGATATTAAAGTCTAAAAACCTCTTTGAAAAATTTCAGTAATAAGAATGAAACAGCTTACTAAAAAATATTATCGAGCAGATGCTAGTTATTTATCTCAAGAAGTACTTGAAGAGATTATACAATCAAGAGGTAAGATTAAAAATGCGGCCAAAACAATGGCCAATAAATATAATACTTCAACTCGTCGAATTTATGCGTTATATAGCGAGCTCCCATACTGATTCTATTGCTTCGCAGTCACAAAGTGGTTAAATATATAAATGCGGGATATCTGTAAATATATATAAATATTTCGAAACATTTCAAAAGATTTTAGAATATATAAAAAAGTATTGGAATATTTAATAACTTTAAGAAATGTAATATAATTTACATGTGCAAACATTTCGAAACTTTTTTATATTTTTAATAACATTCAGATATGGGTCGCATTCATAAAAGTTATTATAGTGCTAATGCCAAATATCTATCAGAAGAGGCAATTCAAGAGATTAAAGAGTCAGTGGGGAAAATACCTGATGCAATAAATGCAATGGCGCAAAAATATCGTATAGGTTATTATCGAGTTTTGGATTATATAGATAATAGGGAGCGCAAACAACAAATAATACATAGTGTTGCTTCTTCTGAGGTAATGCCTGAAAATAATACTTCGGATAGGCGGTCAAAGAAAAGAAAATCAGGATCTAGTCCCAGGTTCGTTCGAATATCTGATTCAGTCAATATGTGCCCTGGCACTAGTTCCGCTATTATTAATAAGGCTGACATAACCAGGCCTTCAGGCGCCTCTACGAGGCATAATCTGATAAAAAAAGTAGATGAAATGGATGACCTACAAGCTAAGCTTACACAAAGTCGTAAAGAAAGAGAAGAAGCTAAACGTGGGTCGAAAAGATTCATGGATTCCAACTAATCTATTTTTGTTTTTTCTAGAGTAGTCCGTAATCCACATAGCGTTTCAATATCAGACTCATTTCTATATGCCCGTAATTTTTTATTAAGCTCGATTAATTCAGTATTAGAATCAAGTACCTCATATAGTGATTTTTCCAGTTCCTCATAGCTCATGCGTTTTTTTTTAAAGTCGAATTATCGGGATCTAAAGGTAGAACCCCATTGCTTTGCAATAAGCTAAAACCTTCAAGGGCATTCCATTCCTCAGATGATATATTATCGTCCTCACCCCCATCTACCTCCTGTGAAATTTGATCGGATGTCAAAGACTTATCATCCCGAGTTGCAGTAGCGCAATTTACTTCGAGCTTGTTTTTAACCTTGACCATAGTTACAGGGATGATGTGATCTTTTCCATTAAAAGGAATTTTTAACTCATCTTTGTCCCAATCCATAGCACATTTGTATTTTTTAAGGTGTGGGTTTGGAAATAATAATATTGGTTTAGGAGTTCTCACAACTGTATAATCTTCACGTATGGTAAAGCCTGGAGGAAATATTATTGGTAAATTACGGGTGATACCAATAGATTCCGTTGGAACGGTGGTGGCCCCACTGAGATCATATATTACTGATTTATCAATCTTTCCACCTACGCGTTTAACAATATCTTCTGATATAATTGCAAGTTCGGCTCCACTATCAATCACCATTGCTGAGATTTTTAAGCGCTTGATTTTAACTGGTATGGTCGCAATACTTGTATTGGGTTCTTCCTTTTTTACAAAATCAATCTCCATAGGATCATCCAACGTCTCCTCTTCCCCATCCGAGGAATCAAAAATTCGAGGCTTTGCCTCATCGGGTATTTCTTGAACTGGTTCTCTATAATTTGTGAAATCTGATTTTTTGGTAGATGAATACAAATCGGATGAGTTCTCAATTTTAACTCTGAGTTTCTCTATCCAATCTATGGGTGCAATGCCATCAAACATATCTAATACCATTTTTTGGAAAGACTTATCAGCGGAACCGGCACGGCCAATAACAGTCGATTTATTTCGGGATTTATCAGAAGTGGAAGCATTTTTCTGTTTCGATTTGCGGGATTTGGGCGTTTTCTTAGAGGACGATTTACTCATCCGCTTTACTTTTTTTTTGCCTTGGTAATATGAACTTTGACATCGCTTTCAGACTCAGAATCGGAGGAGACATTCTCGGCATCAGACCCTGTCTCAGAATTAGATTCATTGTCGGAAGAGTTAGTATCTGAACCCGATTCAGAACTTGAATTTACAGTAGCAATATTGACTGTATCTTTCTTCTTAGACCCGCTCTTCTTTTTATTTTTCAGACATTTAGGAGAATTTGAATGATGACCAGTTCTATGGCATCCTGAGCACCTGTGTTGGGACGATTTTTTCTTAGCTTTTTTAATGGCTTTAGCTATATGTAATTTTAATTGTCTTTTTGTAAGATTGGCCAGCTCTTCGTCTGAATCGACTTCGACGTTTTTTGAAGCACTCCCCCCATTTTTCTTTGAAAACCTATCTGATAATTTTTTATAAAGATCGTTGGCTAGAGATTCCATAATTTGACTAGTTGAAGGGGTTGGATTTATGATATCGGCATGAATATACTTTTCAGAATTTACCCCATAGCCATCTGGAGGTCTTTCCGGCATATATTTATCTGGTACTCTAGGATAATCGTCAGAATTGGGTTGTCTTTGCTGGGGGTGTTGAACCTGTGTTTGCTGGGATTGTGGAGATGACATCATAGATTTTATTAAATTTCTGGTTTCGGCTTCAGTTAAACCCCTATTGCTTGAGTAATTATCTTTTTCGCGAGATTTAGATGGCGATTTATAACTAGATCGGGGTATCTTGGTAACCAATCCTAATTTTTTCTCTACTCTTCGCATTTCAATTCTCTCTAGGGTTTCAAAAAGATCAGATAATGGCTGTTCAGTACCAATACGTTCTGCGTCTTCTTCCAAATCTGGAGACAACCCTCGTAGAAATTGGCCTTTGATTGATTCGTCATCAAGGTGAAGCATTTTTCCGTATTTGATAAGCTTTTTATAAAAATCCCCTATAGGTTCGCCCCCTTGAGCTAGTGACCCAAACACTAGATTGCGTTTCTCGCTAAGTACAGTAGGATACTCATTTTTAAACCAATATAATGCTTGACCGATTCGGATATCAGCAAATACTATAGGGTTATTATTACCCGCATTAATACCATTAACAGGTCTATCCGATGGCCGACCTCCAGCTAGTCGCCAATCTTCAGTAAAAGCTTCTGCCGGAATTATTGAATCCCCTACTGTTACTGCATTATTTCCACTGACATTTGCGTAGTCATGAGCTATTGAAGGATTTCTAAAACTGTTACTAGTAACCATTTGTGCCATAGTTCGAGCTCGAAGAGCAGCCATACCGGCTTGTCCATGATTTGCAAGAATATTATGAACTTCCCAATTTTTACCGAGAATTTTTCGATCAAACCAATCTAATGCCCGTCCAGATAAGCATCCTCTAAAAATGCCAAATGCTTGATCCCGATTAGCAAGTGGATCTATAGCAACACCTGCGAAATATGATGATAGTCGGCTACAGAAAATATCAATGTCCTTATCATGGTCACCTGAAAAATTTGGCAATGGTAATGGTTGTAATGCCATATTCAC